TGTGTGTGTGTGTGTGTGTGTGTGTGTGTGTGTGTGTGTGTGTGTGTGATACAGCCACACAGGCGTGCGGCAGGAGAGAGAGATCAAAAAGCAATGAGGCTGCACTGATCAGATCTTTCTCCAAACTGGCCCCAGCAACGCAGGCACTGGGTTCCCACCAATCTCAACCCCACGCACACTCTGTAGCTAGCAGGTAGGCAGGATCTAGTAACAAGACAGTGGCCGTCTGCATTTCAACCTGTCAGGAGACAGACACATCCTCCGGCTTCTCAACAGCACCTCTGAGAAGGAGGTGGGTTGGCTCAACGGGTGAGTGAGCGCACACTCGCGTGTACACGTACTGCATGCACACACGCCCCCATGCATACCACAGACGCGTTGCTTTCGATGACTGCTGGCAGATTCACTGGCAGGGGCAGGAGGCGTCTCTTGCCCGCCGGTCAGGGCCAATGCCTGGCCCACTCCAGGGCTAGAGCTGGCCCAGCGGGTTACAGCAGTGGTACAGCTGGCCCCCTAGCCCAGCAAGCCACTGCATTATCGGCATGCCACAGCTAACAAGCGCGGGGCCCTCTCCCTGCTGCGTGGCCGGGCGGGTCGCCGCGCCACATCTGCTCACGCTCCAGCAGGTGCAGCTCCCTTCGCTTTCAGTGGGACTCAGGCCCGATCCTGCCAGGGGCTCAGCACCTACTCCTCCCACTCCCACTCAATGGAAATCAAGGAGAGCTGGGTGTGATGCGTCTTCTCCCCTCGCCCGCTTACCGCTCTCACTCATGAGGCTGCTCCGCCTTACCCAGTCACTTCTGATTTACACCAGCAGGGGGCAGTTCAGAATCAGGCCCATGAGCCCAGCGTTTTCTTGGCTCGATCCTCCCCCCCAAGGCTCCACACGGGACTCGAACCCCGTTGGTGCTCCCGAGTCCGGGGCTCTTTGCGTAAGCAGAAAGCAGGCGGGGCGGGCGAGGCTGTTTGGCTTCTTTGTCAGCCAGCCCACACAAGCGCTTGGCAGAGCGCGGAGAGATCTGGGCGGAACCCCCGGCCTCACGCCGCAATCAGACGTGAAGACTGAAAAGAGGAGGCTCCTTGGAACACATGGACTAAAGTGAACCAGAGGGACTCGAACAATATCCCCTTTCTTCGGCACACCCGGGGCAGAGGGAAGCGCAAGCAGACCCGGATTAGGAATGGGGCTAAAACCACCCATGCCTCTAGGGGGCCACAAAAAGTTGATTTTTTTTTTTAATGGGGGGAGGGAAGGAGGGAGAGAGAGACAGTCCCGATCCCTTCCTCGGATCCAGCACCACCAGGCAGGTGCAGCAGCAGCTCTGCTCAGGGCCGATTGCAGAGGACAGGCCGAACTCTGCCTCCAGTTACCCGGCTCTGGATGTCTCAGTCTTTAGATGGGGTCATTTCTCAAGGGTTATTTAAATTAAACAGCCCCCGCTGGCCACAGAAATCTACTTCCCCAAGGATGGAAATGATATGGGGTGGGACGCTCCCCCAGATGCCCACCCCCCATTGGCCCCCTTTGCAAATCCCAGGCGTGGCCAAGATTTATCAGCGACTAGAGAGATTCGGGGCATCTGACACCGTGGAAGGGCCCCCCATTTCCAGAAGGGTGGCTAGCTCACCACTTTCTCAGTCAGGGTTTCTCAAACCGGGCACCCAAAAAAATCACTCGTCACTTGCCCATCAAAAAGGAAATGACTCACTGCAGGGGGGGGGGGGGGGGGGGGGATTGTGCAAGGCTGATCCGTCCCACGCCCACCCATGCCCGTAAGCAGCGAGCCGGCTTGGGCAATACCCCTCCGTCGCCCTTGCCGCCCCTCACCTGGTGAATCGGACTTTGCAGATGTTGCACTCGTAGGGTTTCTCGCCCGTGTGGGTGCGGATGTGGCGGGGCAGCTTGCCAGCCCCCTGGATCACCTTGTCACAGATGGGGCACTTCTGGAATGCTTTCGCCCTGATCTTCTTCTCCGCCTTCTGGGACCAGGACGGATACACGTCGCTCTCGTGAGAGCTGCTGAAGTATTTCAAGTAATAATCCATCACCCCGTCGTCGTCCTTCTGGTCATCCTCACCCAGCTGCTGCCTTCCCACGGAACTGATCATCTGCTGCAGCAGGGCGCTGGCGGCCAGACCGTCCACCTCTCTAGCCTCAGCCTCTTCAGCCTCCGCTCCCCCAGGAACGAAGCTGGGAGAGTTGCTGGCTTCCTGCTGGTCCAGGGCTGCCTCCTCTTCTCCTTGTGCCGTCAGGCCGTGTCCACTGTAATGTCCATTCTGGGAAGGTGGGAATAAGGCTCCCGGGGCCTCCTCTTCCTCTCTTTTCAGCCACATGGCATGGTTGCTGTCAGGGTCACTGTCGTTCACCTTTGGTCTTTCGTTTGGGGGGGCTTGTGAGTAGAAGTCCATGCCGTTGCAGTCCGGCTCCTCCTCGTCCTCTTGCCCTTGGAAGTTCAGTCTCTGAAGGTCTCTCAAGTCTTGGTTGGTCCATGGAAAGTTGCCTTGGTGGCCGTTGATGGGGTTGCTCTGGAAGAACTCCAGGTACTCTTTTGCTCTGAGATGGTTCCTTTGATCAATTTGATCTACTAAATCCATCTGGTCATTTTTGGCCAGAATCTTCCTGTCGAGGAGATCCGTGCAAACCTCCGTTACCGCCGGGATCTCCAGCAGTTTGGCGGCGTTGAGGATCTCGTTGACGTTCGAAGTGCTGACGGTCAGGGTCGCGGTGTAAGCGAAATCGAGCAGCGCCGACAGGGCGTCCACGCTCACAAAGTCTATCTCGTATACGTTTTGCTGGTCCACCACTAACCCGGAGGTGAAGAGCTTCTTGAAGTATTGGCTGCAGGCCGCCAGGACAGAGCGGTGGGTGGGGAACTCCTGACCGTCCACCAAGATGACCACGTCACACAGCAGCCCGTTGTTCCTCTGTTCGTTCAGGCTGCTCAGGATGTCGCTGCTGTGATCGGGGAACGGGATCCCGATGGGGCCGTCCACGCCACCAGCCATTTTCAACACCAAGGGCTGGGAAGAGACGAGAAAAAAAAAAAGCAGGATCAGTTCTAGAGCCTTTCATTGCTAAAAGGCGTTTGGACTGTCGAAAGCATCTCCCACCACGGGTCCTATTTGTTGTCTGTTGGCCTTTACATGGGGCAATCTATGGGCCAGACACGAATGCAGCCTTCATACTAGAGACCCAATGCACCCACCCCGGCCCCCAGGTCCTCTTTGCACTGAACATTTCTACGGTCACAGACTTGGTTGGTCTCCTGCTCTTCCCACCCTGCCGTCTCCTTCGGAGAGATCCCCTGCTACGTCGCTCTAGGTCTGAGAAGCAATTGGAAAAAGAGAGAGAAACTCATGGAACAATTCACAAAGGACCTGCTGGGGAAGGAGCGAGACAGCTTGAGCAAGCCTCGGGCACACGCACCAACACGTCCCACCCTGTGGGACGGGCCCAGGCAGCCGCGGCACTGAAGAGCGCTGGCCTGTAGGGACAGGGAAATAACAAAACCTTCCCAACCTGCTGCCAAAGCTCCCACTGCAGGATGACGAGCCCAGGTCAGAGACCTGAGCACCGTGGGGATTTAAATGCTTGTGGAATTAGGAGGGTTCCCTGGGGGAGAAGAGAGACAGGACTCGATGGATATGAAAGGGATTCATTATTGAGGCTGCTGGACACAGACAGACCCCGTTGTTCTCTGGACCTCCCCGGCTCCCCACCCTGTGCCGCCGGCCATCACCTCACAGCGTCCCCCCGGAGCTGTGGAAGCAGCTGAAGTTTATGCAGCAGAACCGAGGGCGCCGGCCCTCTGTAACCCGGCTGAAATGAGTGCGGTGACCGTGCCCAGCTCCTGTAGTAGCCACAAGAGCAGCTGGCAAGGTGAGCAGAGAGGCCACGGACCCAATGGGTAGGGGAAGTTGAATCCCTCTTGCCCTTATGAATCGTCCCTCGCATGGAGTCTCTCTCTCTGCTCCAGCTGGGGACTCATGCGGGCACCGTGATGGCTGGATTTACCCTGCCCCGCTCTGGGAGGCAGGCATCAGCCTGGCTGACGGGTGGGGGCGTGAGGCACAGCATGGATTAACGGACTTGCCCGAGGTCACGCAGGAAGCCTTTGGCAGAACCAGGAAATGAACCCAAGCCTCGCACGTCCCCAGCCCGGTGCGCGACCCACTGGGCCACCCGTCCTATCCCAGGGGGCCACCGTGCAGCTGAGCAGCGACCCCCATTCCTTTAGCTGCGCTGCCAAGGGAGTGCCACTCGTAGTGCCCGTGGGCCCCACCTCTCTGTTCCTTCTCTGCCCACGTGCACTGAACAGAAGCAGGGTGCCTCAGTGGAGCACTTTTCATTCTCCCCCCCCCACACACCCCGCCAACACACACACCCCGTGCTCCTGACATGCCAACTGGACACCCTAGCAGCCTTTCCACCAGCTTGGCAGCCTGAGTGGAGGGGCTGGGAGCTGGCTGGGATCCCCACCCATTTTAGCTCACATAGGACCCTATAAAGCCTCAGGCTGTACCTGTGCCATCCCATCCCCTTTCCCCGAGCCCCGCTCTGCCAGTTCACCAGCTGCACTCCCCGGAAGCGCCAGCAGCATGCTCGGCTCTATAAAAGGCCTGATCCACCTGCCCCTCACACGTTATTTTCCAAGCGAAATGCCTCTTTCTAGCATTATTAATGAGCCCTAGCAGGCTAGCTAGACAAAGCAGCTCTGCTTAACTTCCTATTGTGACTATTCAAACCCTTTCTACTTTCTGAAGTGATCTGCCAGCCAGGAGTCCGGCAGCGTTTTGGTCTTGTGGTTAAGGCACTAGGCTGGGAATCAGGAGATCCACATTCGATTCCAACCTCCACCACAGAGTCCCTGGGCCACCTTGGGCAAGTCACTTCATCTCCCTGGGCCCCAGTTTGCCAGCTGTAAAATAGGGATAGGAATAATTCCTCTCTCCCGCCCTTTGTCTGTCTGGCCTGTTAAGACTGAAAGCTCTTTGAGGCAGGAGTCGGCTCTCGCTAAGTACGTACAGCGCCTGCTACAATAGCGCTCCTACCTCAGTTGGGGTCTCTAGGTGCTATAATAATACAAACAATCATAATTAAGGCTAAGATTTAGTCACGGGTCTATTTGGTAAAAGTCATGAACAGGGCATGGGCAATAAATGAAAATTCACCGGTCCATGACTTTTACAAAAAATACCCCTGACTAAATCTCTACTTCTGGGGCCCTGCTGCTCCGGGGGGTCCTGCTCCAGTCCTGGGGTTGACTGCCCTCCAGAGGCTGCTCCCAGGGACCGCTCTTGGGATGGCCTCCAGGCACCCCAGGGCCGCTGCTCCAGCCATCCTGGGACTGCCGCTGCTCGGGCGATCCCCAGGGCACCCCTAGGACTGCTGTTCAGGTGGCTCCCCGGAAGCAGCCACACCAGGCGCTGTTCCAGAGGTCCCTGGAGCCAGTTGCCCAGGGCTGCGTGAGCAGCAGCTGATGTGGCTAGCCCCGGGACAGCCACTGGGACCGCAGCTCGGGTGCTCCCTGGGGCCACCCCCAGGATGACTGCTTGGGCAGTCCCTGAGACCAGCCTCACCGGCCGCTGCTCACGCAGTCCCCAGAGCAGCGGCCGGTGTGGCTGGCTCTGGAACCACTGCTTGGGCGGTCCATGGGACCAGCCGCACCGGCCGCTGCTTGGGCCTGCCAGAGCCGCTGGCCCCAGATTGTTCCAGCAGCAGCCGATGCAGCCGGCCGTGGGGCACCCGAGCAGGGGGAACTAAGGCACAGAGAAGGGATGTGACCTGTGCAACATGAAATAATGAATCAGTGGCAGAGTCCGGCACAGAACTAACTACACAGGGAAGCAATTGACAGCGCTATGGTATAGTGGTGGTAGGCAGCAACCCGGTCACAATACGTAAGGTTTCAAAACAGTCTTCATGCCAGACATGCACACGCCTACTTTTCATAACTTTCCCAGCAGCGCTTTCAAGCTGAAACTTTCCATGAGTGATCTCAGCCCAAGAGGAGGGGATTTTGCTACACTTGCCCCTGTTTAAAAAAAAATCCTGCTACATTTTTCTCATTCCAATAGCTCAAAGAACAGCTCAAACCTCGCCCTGAGGGCCTGAGTAACCCCCACATGGGTCAGTGGGGGACGAAATAAAATTGGTCCTGGATGGAAGTTTTTGGCGCTTGAGAGCGCTCGCCGCAGACGACGTTCACTAAGGGCTCAATCCTAACGAAACATATCGATTTGAACAGCAGCAAGGCAGGAACCGGCTTTAAAATCCCAGAGTTGCATGGTGCAAGTGCACCCGTCCAAGGAAGTAATTGGGAGTCCCTCCATTCACTCTGATGGGAGCTGCTGGAGCAGGCCCTTAAGCACATCCATTAGAGGGTAGCCACTAACACGGATCAGCTGGGCTGTGGTGTCTCACGGCACGTAAAATATAGACGCTTTAGAGGGTTTGAAATATTCCTGGCCTGGAAGGAACCGACATCAGCTGCAAGGGATGAAATATGGGTTGCAGGAGTTAAAACTAAGCACAAAATTTGACCTAGATTCTGGGCTTATGGATTTTTGAGATGAAGTGCAATGATAAGGGAGGAGGAAAAATGGTTTTGTGATTAAAGCCCTGGATGGGGACGCAGGAGATGTAGGTTCAATTCCTGGCTCTGCCACAGACTCCCTGGGTGACCTTGGGCAAATCACTTCATTGCTCTGTGCCTCATTCCACACCCCCCCCCAATCTGTAAAACAGGGGTAAATAATTCCTTCCATTCCTCATAGGCTGCTGTGCAAGGATATGTTTATTAGCAATGGTAAGGTGTTCAAATGCTACAGAGTACCTAAATACATGGAATTGGCCTAATTTACAATCATGCAACCCCGCTGACTGACGGGGGCCCACAAGTGGGTGACTACGGGCAGAATTCTGTGTTTGAAAAGAGGAAGTGCCAAACGTGCAAGACAGACTGCTATCCCGCTGAGCGAGTGTGTTTTGGCCTGGTCCTAAAAAAAGAAATTTAGAGATTTCCCCAGATTAGATGCTGGAGGGAGGTCATAGACTCATAGACTTTAAGGTCAGAAGGGACCAATATGGTCATCTAGTCTGACCTCCTGCATGATGCAGGCCACAAAAGCTGACCCCCCCACTTTCCCTTAACTCAGCTGTTGAAGTCTCCAGATCGTGATCTAAAGACTTCAAGTCGCAGAGAATCTTCCAGCTTGCGACCCCTGCCCTATGCTGCGGAGGAAGGCGAAAAACCTCCAGGGCCTCTGCCAATCTACCCTGGAGGAAAATTCCTTCCCGACCCCAAATATGGCGATCAGTAGAACCCCGAGCATACAGGCAAGATTCTCTAGCCAGACCCTCATTTTACCAGCGATGGCCGTTATTGCCTAATTGACTAAAATCACATTATCCCATCAAACCATTCCCTCCATAAACTTATCTAGCCTAATCTTGAAGCCAGAGAGGTCTTTCGCCCCCACCGTTTCCCTCAGAAGGCTGTTCCAAAATTTCACCCCTCTGATGGTTAGAAACCAACCGCAGGTCCTGTCCCCCCTCCCTTTTAGAGAGAATTTGAGCTGGGTAAAGCATTTAGAAGCTTTGGGCAATAATCTTTTGGCCAGCCAGCCTGCAGCACCCACACAGCTGGGGTTTGTCATGCCCAGCCATAGCCGGGGCGCGAGGCAACCGTCCAAGCAAGGGTTAATCCCACACAACTTGGGAGCCGGGACAATCGACAGCATAGTGTGGGAATGGTGGCTGGGTCATGAGACTTTCCAGCCTTGGCATGGAAAGTGATACACTTCACAACTTATTCGAGTTGGACAAAATGCCTTTTGTGTTGAGCTGTGGTTCAAATTTGCAGCAGCTGAGAACGTGAAGGAGTTTAAAAAACATATACATTTCCTAGCACATCTCCCCCACCCAGCCAGCGAGCATCCTCAATTACCATTGAGCGAACATCTTCTCTATCACAGCAGCATTGGTTATAAAACTTTGGCCAACAGCACAAAGGCTTTTT